GTGAGACTCTTCAAAAAATTTTCTTTAGGTTATATAGACATAGGCATTCTAGGGTTGGTAGGTAGATAATATTCATGTTTCATTAATTTAAAAAAAACATTGACAAATATGAAGGCATTTCATTTACTTAACACTAACAGGCTATGAGGTGTTACACAGAATTTTCCAAGTAACATAAACTTACCTGACCAAATGATGTTTAAACATTTGATGGGCATTTAGCCAAAATGTATTAAAATTGTCCGTGGGATTTTTTTGCACAAAAACATAAAGGCAGACTTCAACACGAGGGTCGGTTTGGGGAGTGGGGCCCTACCAGGAAGTTGGCTGCAAATAGACTGTTTCTTTTCTTTGAAGAAAATCAGATTTATAGAATAAGAACGAGCAAGTCACATCTTTACCAAAACAAAAAAAAATATATCTTTATTAAACAAAACTCTGGTAGAAAACACCTCTTTCTCTTTGGCAGGCCCATGGAGGCCCAGGCCAAGAGCAGGGTCCGGGTGTCCTCGGGCTAAAAGGACACAGTCACAACCGCCGTTGAGCCTTCAGTAAAGAGATGTATTTTTGCACCCACTTTTCCTCCGGTTCTGCACAGACCTTCAGGCCTTTTTTGGTAGTGAATCTGCAGGAGAGAGGCACTGACAGTCAGTGCTGAGAAGGGATGGGGACCAGCCACCTGCCTCCAGTTCTAGCCCTGTCACCCTGTCTCTGCCCCTCTTTCTGGCCCTGGCCCTCCCTCCTCTCTCACACACGCTTTCTGCTGGAAACCACGCTTCCTGGCCCACCTCCCTTGAAGCATTTTCCAACAGCTCTAGTCAAAGCATGCAACCTGTACCCTGCCTCTTAACTGTTTTATTTTAATCTATCAACTTTATTGGGATGTAATTCGCACACAATGCAGTTCACTCATTTAAAGGGTATAATTATCATTCATTGGTTTTTAGCATATCCATGCATGACACAACCATTGCCACTACAATTTTAGAACATTTGCATCACCCCAGAAAGGAAACTTATATATATGCCACTTAATTCTTTTTATGTTTTAATTGAGAGACAGAGAAAGGAAGAAAGGGAGAAAAAATATCAATTTGTTGGACCACTTATTTATGTACTCATTGGCTGAATTTTGTATGTGCCCTGACTGGGAATCAAACCTGAAGTTGGAATCAAACCTGCAACCTTGGCATATCAGGAGGATACTCTAACCAACTGAGCTACCAGGCTAGGGCTGCCATTTAATCCTTAATGACATTATCATAGGTTGTTTGCCTTGACTCCTGCATTCCTTATATATGATTCCCGATTCCTGCTGTGATCTCATTAAGAAGAGGGGTTGTGGTTAATGTCCCTGAATCTGCTCCAGCCTCCTTGAGAGTACTCAGCCATGAAGAGAGCCTAGACCCAGTTGTTCTAGCCTGGAGTACCTTGCAGAGCCCAACAGAGTTTATAGGGCTCTCAGGAAGACTCCAGTACATGCAGGGGAGAAGAGCCAGGAGAATGAGAAAATCAGACAGAGGAAGTGCTTTCTGGATGTATGAAAGCATGCCATCACTCTTACTGAGAGATGGGGGGTCTCTGTCATCACCTCTTGAATTTAGGTCAGCCTTAGGGACTGGTCAACCAACAGAGTGTGGCAGAAATGACACTATGTGACTTCATAGGCTAAGTCAGAAAAGATGGTGGAGCTTCTTGGCTTACTTATGCTGGAGCCCTGAACCACCTTACAGGAGTCCTGTCAGACAGACAGGTCACCGGACTGTGAGGAAGCCTAAACGAGCCGAACAGAGAGATCACACAGAGAGGCCCCAAAGAGACAGACATGCCACCAGCTTCAGTTGTCCCATCTCCAGCACCATCTGACTTCAACCATCCAGCCAAGCTACCCCGGAAATTCAGACCCACAAAAACCATGAGAGATAAGAAACAGGTCATTGTTGCATGAAGCCTGTAAGTATTGGGGTAGTTCATTAAGCAACCATAGATAACTGATACAAGCCTCTCATCTTCTTTTTACAAATGCGGAAAATTGACTTGCCCAAGGTCACACACACAGCTTGTACTTGTAAGTGGCAGAGCCACTGCTTTGAGCCCAGTTCAGGGCTCTTTGCCAGCTGTCAGTTAAGTGTTGATGACTCTAAAGCTCCAGAAAGCCAATTGAGACACAAAGAAGACCCAGGACATCCCGAGCCTCAGAGTACCCCCTTCATATCCAGGCCCTTGAGGATCTTTTCTCGGTCCTTAACTTCTCAACAGCAGGCAGGTTGGCCTCTGAAGACCCTTCTTTCCCCTTCTGCACTATTCTCTCAAGCTCAGGAACCTCGTGTCCTAGGAGGAGTGACCTGCCCCTCCTTGTGTATTTGCACTTAAAAATGTTCTTGTTGAATGCTGGTAACTTGGATTCCCACCCTGCCCATGCATGTGGCAGCAACATGGCCAAATTCTGCCAGTGACGGAACTTTTGTCAAACATTCCCTGTGTGTAGGCACAGTACTAAGTGCTGTGTGTGCATTATCTCACTTAGTCCTGCCAGAGACTGTGAGGCGTCTGTCCCCTCTCCTGCTACCAATGAGCCTGGCCTGGCCCGACTCCTATTTACCTCCCTGCCTTGTCAGAGATATGTTCATCTTCCTCCCACTCACCTGCTGCTCCCTCTGCCTGGTGCATCCCTGCTCCTTCCTGCCCCTTTGACCTGGGCCACTCTCACTGGTCTTGAGGGTCTCAGTGTACCTGTCACTTCCTCAGGGGAACCTCCTGACACTAAGCAAGGTCCTCCTGTGACAATGATGAGGAGTGGCAGAATATGCTACCCCAAAATATGCCACTTTGGCATAAAGATTACTTTTAGCTAAAGGCACTTAAAAAAAATCAGGTGTGCCTGCGGAAGAGCTTGGAAAAGATGGGCTCCAGGACATGAGGCGATAACTGCCCAGATGAAAGGGAAAACCACTCAGCTTTGCCAGAATGGAGATCCCTGCAGCCAGGTGAAGAAGAAAGACGCATATTTTTGGTGGAGTGCGAACCCCTGCAGCTTTGGTAGAAGAGGCCCACGCGGCTTTGGGGTGCCCCCTTTGGCCGTGTGGCCTGGAAAGCAAGAGAGACTTTGGCTGAAACTGGGTACAAAGAACTCTTGCCAGTGGACCATGAGCGGGTACCACAGTATTTTGGATTAACTAGAGAGAGATCCTGCCTGCACGGTGACACAGCTGACAGTGCCAGCAGCCTGCAACACAGACGTGTGCTCTTTTCCTCACTTACGGTACCTGGGGTTGGGACAGTGGGAGAAGCGGGAGCTGTGTGGGTGTAGGTGTATATCCTAAAGGACTTTGATATTTTAGTGGAGGCATTAAGCCTAAATAGCATTAAATAAATATTTTGTTTCCTTTTCACACACACACAAAAAAAATCAGGTGCAAGAAGGGCTCTCTGACCTCCTCTTTCTTCCTGGAAACAGGAGATAAAACTCTCATGTAAAAAAATGTCCACTGTACCAGGAGGAAAGAAACATTTTTGTTATCAGAGATAGGGAGTCAGGCCAAGGCAATTCTGTAGAAACAGACCTTGTCAAAATAACTCTCATCATCCTCCAGGCACCACCCCCCCCCATACATTTTAGATACTTTTCTACAATTGCTTCTCTTTGATCAACTTAGTATAAATGCATTTAGGTTTTGCCACTTTCTTTTGAGGGGGGAGGGGCGGTCTTCATTCTCCTATGAGGGCTCCCACGTGCGTGTAAAAATCTGTATGCTTTTCTCCTGTTCATCTGTCTGTGTCGATTTAATTTTCAGGCCCAGCCTTTGACAAGCTCCCTCCTGCTCTCCTTCCTGCTGTCCCTTTCAAGCACCCATCACAAGTGTGATGATCTATTCTGTGCAAATGTCTTTTAATGACCCCTTTCTTATGCTAGATGTAAGGTCTATAAGGGCTGTCTTATTTTCTCTTTTACTCAGCACTTAGCATAGACTGGCGCACGGTATGGAAGTTAGGAAACCAAAGCTCAAGTCATATTTGTTACATTTGTCAGAGGCAGGGTGATAAACCAAGTTACCAGGTTTCCACCCTGAGGCTCATCTTGGTACTGTAGGGGACTGCCTTCTACCCACCCAATTACGTGGCTGGCAGGAACCCTAAAAGCCCAAATGAGAAATACTCACATCACAGCTTGCTGGGGACAGCTGCTCCTAGTGAATTCATAGCTTTGCACCAATTTCCAAGGAAGGGCCTTTGGGCTGAACTGTAAGCAGCAGTACTTGGCCACATTACTGCCACCTAAAAAACAGGGAGAGGAAGGAGACTGGAGACACCCCTTTGTTTCTACTCCCAGTCATCCCAGGAAGCAAGTTGGCAGCTACATACGTGTGGCAGTTCCAAGGTGGACACTCAGGATGAAAAGCAGGAGTACAAGGGAAGCCTTGGGGAAGCTCTTCATGGTGCTCCAAGCTGAGCCCTTCATGGCCTTCTCCTTGATTCCTCTTGTCTAAACACACCCCCTTTTATAGGGCTCAGCAGTCCCTGAAGATGATTCCAGATAATCTCGTGGTTAAGAATATGACACCACTGTAAATGAGGAAGTTGATGCCCTTAAGGAGATTAAAAAGTAAGACAATGTAATCTAGAGGAAGGGGAGAAGCCAGCATACAATTGAGTCTCTTGACCCAGTGTTATGTTACCAGTACCTCATTTGAAAAACAAAAGCAAAGAAAATAAAATAATAATTCCAGTGAACTGGCCCTACTTCCTTTACAACAAAATTAGTTGTTTCAGACAAATTTCTGGCTCTTGAGCTGAAGCTTTCTTTGTTTTATAAACATTGTTTATCTCTTGGTGAGGTCTGGGCAATCAGTCTCAGGACATGCATATAGGGCAGCCTGACCATGACAATGGACATCCAAGAACAAGGCTCCAGGCATAGGTGGATTGTGTTCTTAGTGTCACATATCACTCCCTACGGAGTTCCAGAGCTGCTTGGGGGCACCCAGAACTATCTCATCTGGTTTAGAGGATCAAAAGCCTGATAGGACACTACAATGGCCTAGAGTATGAAAGACAGACATTTTCCCAGCCCCTGCTTCGCACCTCCTGAGTCAGGCTCTTAGGTGAGGGGGCTGGGGAGTGGAGGGTACAAGAATCTATATTTTAACCAGGTTTAGCTGAGACTCCCTGCCAAGATGGAGGCATAGGTAAATATACTGTGCCTCCTTGCACAATCAAAAGAAGGACAACAACAAATTTAAAAACAAAAAATAACTACATCTGCCAGAAAAGTCAAACTGTATGGAAGTCCAACAGCCAAGGAGTTAAAGAAGAAACATTCATCCAGACTGGTAGGAGGGGTGGAATGATCCAGAATAGAGAGGACGCAGAGCAGGGTGGCGACTGGAGGACTGGGAGCAAATGTGCTCCCACATTTGCGTACAGATAAACCTGGAGGAACAGCTGGGGAGTGAGACTGACCACGCAACCTAGGGTTCCAGAGAGGGTAAATAAAGCTTCAAAACCTCCTGCTGTAAAAACCATTGGGGGTCGCGGCAGCAGGAGAAACTCCCAGTCTCTCAGGAAAGTTTGTTGGAGAGACCCACAGAGTCCTAGAAGATACACAAACCCACTCACCCAGGGACCAGCCTCTGAAAGAACACAATCTGCTTGTGGGTACCAGGGAAAGTAACTGAACGCTGCCAAGATCTAAGCCAGAAGCATTGTTTTCTCTTGGAACCCTCCCCTACACACAGTGCCACAACGCAGCTAAGAAGGTTGCCCCACCCTGACAAATACCTAAGGCTCTGCCCCTTACAATGTAGCAGATGCGCTGAGACCAAAAAAAAAAAAATGGCCAAAACAGATCAAAGCTCCAAAAACAGAACTAAGTGATGAAGAGACAGCCAACCTATTAGATGCAGAGTTCAAAACACTGGTAATCAGGATGCTCACAGAAATAAATGGTTGAGTGTGGTCACAAAGGGAGGAAAAAGTGAAGGCTATGCAAAGGGGAATGAAGAAAAATATACGGGGAACCAACAGTGAAGAGAAGGAAACCAGGACTCAAATCAATAATTTGGGACAAAAGGAAGAAATAAACATTCAACCAAAACAGAATGAAGAAACAAAAATTCAAAAAAATGAGAAGAAACTCTGGGACAACTTTAAGTGTTCCAACATCCGAATCATAGGGGTGCCAGAAGGAGAAGAGCAAGAGAAAGAAATTGAAAACTAATTTGAACAAATAATGTAGGAGAACTTCCCTAATCTGGCAAAGAAAATAGACTTTCAGGAAGTCCAGGAATTTCAGAGAGTCCCAAAGAAGTTGGGTCCAAGGAGAAACACACCAAGGAACATCATAATTAAGTTACCCAAGATTAAAGATAAGGAGAGAATCTTAAGACAGCAAGAGAAAAGGAGAGAGTTACCTACAAAAGAGTTCCCGTAAGACTATCAGCTGATTTCTCAAAAGAAACCTGCAGGCAAAAAGGGGCTGGAAAGAAGTATTCCAAGGACCTACATCCAAGGTTGGTCTATCCATCAAAACTATCATTTAGAATGGAAGGGTAGATAAAATGCTTCCCAGATATGGTCAAGTTAAAGGAGTTCATCATCACCAAGCCCTTATTATATGAAATAAGGGACTTATCTAAGAAGAAGAAGATCAAAACTATGAATAGTAAAGTGACAACAAACTCACACCTATCAACAACTGAACCTGAAAAAAAAAAAAGGAAGTAAAACAAACCAAGCAAACAACTAGAACAGGAGCAGAATCTCAGAAATGGAGATCACATGGAGGGTTATCAGTGGGGAGGGGAAGAATGGGGGAAAAGGTACAGGGAATAAGAAGCATAAATAGTAGGTACAAAATAGACAAGGGGAGGTAAAGAATAGTATAGGAAATGCTGAAGCCAAAGAACTTATGTACACGACTCATGGACATGAACTAAGGGTGGGGGGAATGCTGGTGAGAGAAGTGCAGGACAGAGGTGGATAAAGGGGAGAAAAAAATAGAGACAACTGTAAGAGCATAATGAATAAAATATATTAAAAAACATATTTGGGTGAAATGAGGAAAGTGAGTTTTAAAAAGGGGCAGTGACTTTTGCCAGAAGAGTCTTAGGAAGGGGTGGACGGGGTTTTTAGATTCTTGTTTCATGACTGCACTCAGTTGTTCCTACCTCTGATATGACCCTGTGTAAGAGGCCCCCCAAAAGAAGGATTTGTAATGGAGTCCATAACTCAGGGTGTCCAGGAAATATTAAAAATATGGGATGTCCTCACCCCCACAAGTCTGAGCTGAGGAGTGGCATACAGGGAGCAGGGCCATTCAAACCTGTTTTATACAGCAACAGTTTTGCAGCTAACCTCTGGCATGGTCATTTAACGTGTCTATAACCTTTAACTGGTTTCATGGATATGTTGAATAGCTGTGGCCATGCTCTGAGCCAGGGAGAAAGGAGTGACTTCCACCCAAGATGTAACTGGGAGGCACCCCCCCCTGGTTACAATGCCTGCTGGAGAGCTTAGAGATGACTGGCTCCATGCCACACCTGCCCAGACTCGCTGTGGCAGCCCAGTAAAGCTGGATGGATATGGGAGTGCTGGCAAGTGTAGCCAGTTGTGGGAGGAGTTGGAAACGGGGCTACAGAGGAAGACTGGCATGAGGATTTAAACCCAGATGCGGCAGCCATTGAAGAGAGAGCCATGTGGCTTTGGCAGAGTGGGGACCCCTGCAGCCTTGGTGAAGGAGAGCCACACGGCCATGGGAAGATCACCATGTGGCTTTAGCAGAGAACCACCACTGGGCTTTGGCTGAGAACCATGTGGTTCTGACAGAGTGGCAATGCCCCCCACACCCCAACCCCACCAGCAGCTTTGATTGGGGGACCCCCATGGCATTGGCAAGAGTGAGGACCCCATGGCTTTAGGGTGATCCTTTTGGTCATGTGGCTTAGGAAGCAGGAGAGACTTTGCCTGAAAGGAAAAGGAAAAAGGACTTTCACCAATGGGCCATGAGAAGGTGCCACACAACTTTGGACTAATTGGATATCCTGGCGACACAGCTGATGGTGCTGGGAACCGAGGGAGGCCTACCAGCCAAGCATGGATTACTGGGAAGAACCAGGGGCTGCCTGAGCCATGGACTTCTATTTCTTTTCCCGAGATACGGTATCCCAGACCGGGCAAAGTGGGGAAGGAAGGACTGTGTGTGTTTGTGGGTGTTTTAAGGGACTCTGGTGAAGACATTAAGTCATTACTCTTAAGTCTGTATAACTTGAGTAAATAATTTCTTTCCTTTTCACCCATCTCTAACATGGAGAGCTATAATTCTCTAGCGATGGGAAAGGTGAACCTAGTACAGGGGGACCCCCTTCCCTGGCGGCCAATCCAGGAAAACCATGGGAGACCACATGTGCAGTAGCTTTAAAGTAATACAACTACTTGCACGTGTGCAGTAAAAACCTGCCAAAATAGACAGGGAGGATCGGCCCTGTAAGAGTCGAATCCCTCCAGCCCAATGAGGTCAGTCTCTGCTTGGAGTTGGCCTATTCCCATGCTCTCTGTTATAAACTCTGGGTGTTCAGTTCAATTCTTTGTCCCGATCACCAAGAACCTGGTTACCTGTGCCCACCTGTGACACCTGGACTTACAAAATTTTAATTTAAGCCTTGGCTGGTATGGCTGAGTGGCTGGGGTGTCATTCTGTAACCAGAGTCCCAGATTCGATTCCCTGTCAAGGCACATACCTGGGTTGGAGGTCCATTCTTGGTCTGGGCACAAACAATCCTCGGTTCAGGCATGTGTGGGAGGCAACCAATGGATGCTTCCTTTGCATCCATGTTTCTCTCTCCCCCTTCCTCTCTCTCTAAATGCAATGAAAAAGCAAAATGAAATTTGAATTTAAGGTTAAGAAAAGGCCACAGTCATCCTGTACCATAGGTTTATTTCAAACTAGCTAGAACATTCGAACGCCTTCCTTGAGAGCATTAACTACTCTTGAGTACAGGGAACTCACTGTTGAACTCAGCTCGACCTAGGACAGCTCTGACAATGTGTCACAAAGCTCTCTTAAGGTTTTAAAAATTTAGCCAATGCCTTGGCTGATATGGCTCAATGGATTGAGAGCCGGCCTGCAAAGCAAAGGGTCACTGGTTCGATTCCCAGTCAGGGCACATGCCTAGGCTAGCCAGGTCCCCAGTGGGGTGACACATGAGAGGCAACCACACATTGATGTTTCTCTCCCTCTTTCTCTCTCCCTCCCCTCTCTCTAAAAATAAATGAATAAAAGCTTTTTTTAAAAATTAGCTGAAATCTGCCCTGGCTGATGTGGCTCAGTGGATTGAGTGCCTACCTGTGAACCAGTGTCACTGGTTTGATTCCCAGTCAGAGCACATGCCTGGGTTGCAAGCCAGGTAGGTCCCCAGGGAGGGGCATGCAACAGGCAACCACACATTGATGTTTTTCTTTTTCTCCTCCTTCTAAAAATAAATACATAAAATCTTTTAAGAAAATTTAGCTGAAATCTATCCACTGGGCCACACCAGCCAGGGCTAGCTGAAATCTATATTCCCATTGCTTTTACTTATTGACCCAATTCTATACAAAAAAAAAAAAAAAGCCTAATTTCTATTCCCTTTTTCTTGGTAGATTTCAGCAGATTTGTAGACCATTGTTTAAGTTTGGATTTCCCTAGAACAAGCCATGAAAGAAGGATTCTGGTGTAAGAAATTCATGAGAGACATGAAACCAGAAGGTGCCAGTCAAGGGGAAAGCTGGGGGGGGGGGTGGAACCTGGGGACGAGGGAAGAGTGAATGCCAATACAAGGCAG